TTTAGTGGTCTTGTCTATCGTGGTGTCAATGGTAATGCTTCAAGTCATTATGTGAAAGACAAAGAAATCACTTGGTGGGGTTTTAGTTCCTGTACACGGTCAGTGGAAGTGTTTAGTAAAGAAGAATTTCTTGGAAAAACTGGGCAAAGAACACTTTTTTACATTGAATGTCAAAGCGGCAAATTGATTGAAAATTATTCATACTTATCGAGAGATAATGAAGAAGTTCTTTTGCTGCCTGCCACAAAATTTTTGGTCACCGATAAACAACGAGTCAATCGTGCTTTGACTATTGTTCATCTTAGAGAGATTCTACAAAAGGGTTCATTGCCGTACAGGATTGACATGGTTCATGATGATGGAGTGACACTATTAGATGGACTCGATTATCGACCGGAAACGAAAAGGAAGATGTGTGGACACGACTGTAATATGTGGGCGACAAAACAGTGCTGCAATTGTTCAGGTTTGTGTTTACGACAAGAAGTTTGATGTAGTAAACATTCATCGTTGACTATTTTTCTAGATATTCGATCCTACGAGAAGAATGGATTTTACGAAAAATACATTGATGGCATAGGTTTCGTCAAAGAAGCAACGAGAAACGAGTATTATTGTCCAACTTGTAAGCGGCACGGTCATCTCTCTCAACCGAGCAACATGCCAGTGCTCAATGCACAATCAGATTGAACATCCTCATGGAACAAGATGGATTTGTGCTTCTTCACAGTAAATTTTTTTTGTATATCACTTATCACCCAACGTCTCAGTTGACCAGAGAAATTTTTGCAGTCATATTTGTAGTAAAGCTCACTTTTTAAGTCAAGGGTGTGGGTGTAAGATAAAAATAAAATCTACCACATGTTATATAGAAGTAACAATCGATTAAATTTTCATATTTTATTTTTGTCGTAAATATATAGAAAAAACTTTTAGCAATATTATATTGTAATATTTATGAAATAAAATACAGATTGATAAAGACAATACAGTAAAGCAAACAACAAAAAGTTAAGAAAAAAAATGAGGGTGTGAGTGTGGGTGTAAATATAGACATTCATCTATATTCAGTCACACCCACACCCTAAATATCAATCAATAATAAAATCAGAATATGAAATTAATATTTGAATTAGAAAAATTAGAAACTGTACTAGCTTTTAGAAAAATAGTTTTAATGTAAGGAATAAAATAATGAACAGCTCCTGTAAATTTTTTGAATTAACTTTATTCCTATTCACTGAGATTCGTAATAGAGCAAATGAAATTATTACAAATGCCGTCAAAGTAATATATAAACATTGGTTTCTACCACGTGAACATTATTATTTTCTTTTTTTTGTCATCCTGACAACCTGTAATACATTGTTTTCTTCTCACATCAATTCTATCACAATAGAGAAAAAAAGCGTCCTTCAACATCACTCACATTTTAGTTGCAGAAAAGAGAAACTACGAGAGTATTTCTTACAGTGAGAACTCATTTTTCATCACGATGACGAGCAGTCGACCCGGTTCTTCGCGTATATCAAACAAGGAACCAAATGAAGTAACAACAAGAGTTTCATCAGCAAATGTGCGAAAAGAAAAACAATCTTCAGTTCCCCAAAAAGCGACATCCAATATCAACATGTTTGCTTATTTCTGGCTTGATGAAGATGTAAATAAAACGAAAGATAATCAAGAAACACAAAAAGAATTGAGGAAAGTCATCAATTCATTACAAACATTCGAAAATTCTGATGAATGTGAACAGGAGATCCGGAAAATGATAGAAGAAAAAGTTGTTCTTATTTCTTCTAATCCATTGGCTCATCAACTAGTTCCTCGTATACATGATCTTTCACAATTTAAGGCATGCTACATTTTTTGCTCAGATCAATCAGTCGACAAACAATGGATTACCGACTATGCTAAAGTATGTGATTATAATGTTGCAATAGCCATAGATCCTAAATTCTTTCTCATAGATTAAAGGCAGTTTTACTCAACGATCGGAATTGCTCGCTCGACTTACTCAAGATCAAACTGTTCGAGTTCTAATCGAAGATTCCGGAATGATTTCAATAGTCAGTCGCAATACTGAATCATTAGAAAGTCGAAATGCTATGTTTATGTGGTTTCAGTTATTTATTGAAGTACTTTTTCGTATGCATCATAAATCCAATGCTCGACAAGAATTGATTAATGTTTGTAAAGAACAATATCAAAATAATTCCGAAGAACTCTCGATTATTAACGAATTTGAGAACACATATAAAACAGAAAATGCTATCTGGTGGTATACACGTGAATGTTGTCTATATCGTATTTTAAACAAAGCATTGCGCAATCAAAATTTCGATTTATT